ACAATTATGCTGAGTCAAGGATAGCCAGTTGGAGGAATGAAAGATTTCTGACCTTTTCCTGCCTTGCCCTATCATAGCCCTGTGCCAGAAAAATACTGTTAAAGCTTTACTACGTCAATGTCCCTTCCATTTTGGCCAGGAAGTCAGCAGAGGCATTGCTTGGATGCTGGCAATGAGTTTTATAATCAAACACTTTGTATTTGGGCCACTCAGCAGGTACAACTTATAGAGACATAGAAAATTGATAGCAGAAAAAGACCCATAGGCTGCTGATGATTGACCTACTACCTCCATTGGAAGCTGGTTCCAAGATTTCACTACTCTTTCTGTGAGGTAATATTTTCTAATGTTACTTTTTAACTCCACTCTAATTTATTTATTTATGAGACTTATATACTGCTTTAAGTGCAAGCACTCTCTAAGCCGTGTACACCAGTAAGCAATGTATATATATATTTACATTGCCCCCAACAATCTGGGTCCTCATTTTACCTACCTCGGAAGGATGGAAGGCTGAGTCAACTTTGAGCCGGTGAGATTTGAACCGCTGACCTGCTGAACACAGTCAGCTAAAGTGGCCTGAAGTACTGCACTCTAACTGCTGCGCCACCCTAATGTTATTTTTTAACTCAGTTTGAGGTTATGCCCTCATATTTTTTATTTTTGCTTCCTTCTTTCCTTGGTGGACTAATTGAGCCATGAAGGGCCATTAGTCAGAAGTGATAGTATTCTAAGTCCGCACAAAATAGTTATGGGAAGAGCTATGAAAAAATTCAAAGGTAATTTCAATTTAAACAGGTCTCTCTCCTGATATTTAACAGAGAGGTTTCTGGGTTCACAATACATTGGACTAACAAGTATTTAGTGAGTGGATAATTTTGTCATATAAATACAGCCTGAGAACCTATTATAGACCTGGCTGAAAACAGAATCTTTATGTGCTATTTGAAAATAAAAATATATATATATAAGTATAGTTCTCTCCTTTTTGGTTTGTTTCATTATAATTAGCCACATTGTTCTAAATCAGGGAGTCAAACTGCTGGCCCGTGGGCCGGATGCGTCATCCCAAAACCGCACCCACCCCATTGCCGGCAATGGAGAAAAAGCTCCAATATGTCATGTGACGTCACGAGTTTGACATGTCTGTTCTAACTCATTCAGAGTGAGTGACTTAGGAAGTGATGGTAGCAAAGAATAGGGCAATGCATAATACCAACCTGTGAGAAAGGCAGAGCCATGTTGCCACTCATGTGATTAATGATGTGAAGTTAGTATTATCATCTGAACTTCTCTCACTGTCTGCAGAAGGTTTTCTCCTCTCACCTGCAGTATCAAGCAGCAGTGTCAAAGTTGGTAATCATTGTTGAAGAAAAAAACCCTACCTCAAAAGTAATAGTTCTAGAAAGGGACACTTTTCAGGTATCCCATTAGTCAGTACAGCCTCTTTAGGTTCAGGAATCTTAAGTAGCATGCTGGCTGGTTTATCCTGGATACTTGTGCAATAGCATCAAGGATAAGTGGGACGGGGTGGGAGAAGGTGGTGTTTGTGCTTGAAGAGCCAAAACTACATTCCATATGCCATGAATTCTATATGAACAAATGCCTCCCCCAGGACCCTGATGTGACTCACTAAGTGTCCAAAGTAACTTCTTTCCTAGGGGATCCTGAGGAGCACTTGGAGATGTGTTGAGCTCCATTTCCCTGTTTGAGGACTCAGATTCCAGCCTGACAATATAGGCCTCATTTTCTGCAAGGCAATAATAGTCAAAATAAGATTGGGATTCCTCCTTCCCTCAGAGCTCATTGGATTTTTCCTGCCCTGCTCTGATCTACCATGCTCTTAAATACTCACTCTGCATGCTGATTTCTGGGTTGCCTGTCAACTTCTCTTGGTCGTGGGGGATCCCCTCCATGTGCAGGAACATAGAGTCTATAGGACTCTTCATATTCCCATCTGACTTGCTGGCTGCATGATATAAAGAGACCTCAGCAGCACATGTCAGAGTATACCCATCTCATCACAAATATATCATAGGATTCAAATCTAGGTACAGGCAGAGGATATTTGTCTACTCTAAAAATTAGCATAGCTGTAACCATTTTCCCTATTCATTTTGAACTGATACATAGCATGGAGGGAGGGGGTTTGCCAGGTGCTTCAATAGTAAAAAAAAAAAACTTATTCCATGGGAACCAAGGTCATTGGCTGCTCCTGAGACTGCAGGCTAGGCGTTGCGAAAAAAGCCTGCCAAGAAGATGTATTGGGGAACATAGTTGCTTGCATAGCCTTAGGGGTGGGATTTCTTAACTTTGCATTGGGGAATTGTTATGTGTATGGAGATGGTTTCACTTTTGATGTAGCTAATAAACATGTTCTTTGAGGAATTTTCAATAAAATAGTTGGTTTAACTTTTTTTGAGCTTGGCCTGATTAGGATATGGATATAAATTTTAAAAACAAAAAATTAAAATAATTTTGCACAATAAGGCTCTCACAGCATCTTTTTCAAAGTCATTCTATAAGAATATGTTTGGTGATACACCTACCCACAATGCTACTTCTCTCATTCAAGAGAATAGCATGGTCATCCTTGGGTGTCTGTGGGGTACCTCTGATTGTGGGAGCCTTTGTGGAATCACCATCATTGAAAACATCCATGTCAGGGGTCTGGGGAGAGCTATCCATGCGGCTGGCAGCCAGTGCATTCTGATACTGTTGCCGAGTAATCTAGGAATCAAACAGAGGAATTGCCAGAAAATTACCTAGTTCTGCAAATTCATTTTCCAATGTTTCTAACTTCTACTATATTTCTATGTATTTTTCCCAACCTGGTGCCATTGAAGGGTGTTGTATGCCCAACAAACCTGGAGGTCTCTAGGCAACAGGTTTGGAGAGATGTGCTGCTACCATATACAATCCCATCACTTTATATTCTGAGTATAAGGGCTTTTTCATTTCACACATCGCTCTTTTTTCATTGACTAGAAAATTGCTATAAAATTACACAACCCTGTTTCCATTGGAAGCCTGTCTCTTCAGATTTAGGCTGGCTCTATTTACTTCTATTGTTGCCTTCAGGTTTATATTTCATATTTTCCACAAATCAGGCCTTAAATAAATTCCTTTGTCTCATCTTCCCAGTTCTGATCCTTTTTCACCTCAACTCTGTGCAGTTCTCACCTGTGAAGAGCTACCCTTTTCTTCTTTCATTTCATCATTTGTATTATAGTTTTTGGAGCGGGGGGGGGAAGCTGCCTTCAAGTCAGTTTTTGACTCCTAGCAACTGCCTCGACTAGTACCTGCTGTTTTTATGGTATACTTTTCAGAAGTGATTGCCACTGCTTCCTTTCTAGGGCTGAGAGAATGACTGGTGCAATGGCACCCAGTTAGCTTTGTGCCTAAAGCGAGACTAGAACTTACAATCTCCTAGTTTCTAGCCCAGTGTCTTAACCACTACACCCACTATACATTAGTCTCTCTTCAATATCCCTTCTCCCCTGAAACATTATTTATGATTTACTATTCTGCTTACAACAATATGACTTTCCTCAACACCATATTTGCTTTCCAAGTTGCATTTATCATATTGTTTCTGCCTTTTTCTCACAGAATTTAAGCAGAGAGTAATCAAAACCCTTAATGAATGGGGTTTTATTCCAAGATCATTGCATTCCAGGGCCAACACAACCTGAAATCATGATACCTTTCATTATTTGGACAGAGCTCATTTCTGCTGTTGTTTAAAAGACAAGAGAGCAAAGAAAGAAATGTATATGTGCTAATGTCAGATAGAAAAATATAGTTAATTTTATTGGTGTTGAAATGTATAGCACTGCTGAAATGCTATACTGTTGCAGAATACTTTTCTTAAAAATAAAATGTTATTTGCAAAATAAGAAGTAAGAATTGTTATCATGTGCTGGCCATTACGCATGACATCTGTTTCATGATTTGGTAGAGGTTAGTCAAGTAAATTCACAGCACAGCTGGCAATAATGAGGAGTAAAACTGCATGTTCCCACAGTTAAATTTCACATAATCTTTAGGCTACACATCTGTACTCATCAGAAGCCAAAGATTTACAAGGATGCCTTGTCTCTTCTAAAAGCTTGCTGAAAGCCAAAATTGTATGTGCTACTCTACTGATTTAACATTCTCCCACCCATTTTTCCTTTATCATTCAACTTTGTCTTGTCTCTTCACTTCTAAGTCAAGTTAGTAAGTTCACCAGATTCACATTATCCCTGTGTTATATCCAGCATGCGTGATAATTAATTATGCAGTTAACAAACCCATTTTCATATGAAGTGCAATATTGTAAACATTTTCTTGGATATGATACATGGAACAATCCTAGCATGAAGCTATTCATATTCCATGGCATAAAACAGGGATGTCAAACTGCCAGCCCTGGGCCAATTGCATCATGTGGAGGCCGTGCCCACCCCACCTCTGGCAATGCAAAAAAAAGTCGCAATACATCATGACATGTCATGTGATGCAGCGAGTTTGACAGCCGTGGTATAAAAAAAAAACAATAAGGAGGGCACTTCTTTCAATCACACTCAGTCCAGCAGATACCTTAACAAACTGTACATCACACAGAATATGAACAGAATAATCTGGAGTGTATATGTTGTTGTTGCAGCCACTATGTAGTTGGGTACTGCTGCCTCCATACTCATTACGTTCTCGAATTGGAGACTCAGAGCGGTTTAATCCACTGCAACGTGATGGAGATTGATTCACTAGAAATAAAGAAGACGTGATGAACAAATGAAAAACACAATGCTTAAAATTTGGGGACGAACTTCTTAAGATTCCCTTAATGGTTCTTAACACTGAAAATTTGTCTGCAATGAACTCCACCCATAAGAGCTCTTGGCTTTTCATTCTGCATAAACTTGAAAAAAATATGAAGGTTTATGTGTTGAATTGTTCTTTTAGAAATCTCCAAAACAAAACATTACAATATGTTTCCCAGTTCCTACATGTTATACTTTCTGTTCTGTGTTCAGGCTCACAGAACAGGGACTTTGTAACAATAATCAGGGCTTGCCAAGGCCAAGATGATTGAAGACTGAAAGCACAATTGAAAAAGGAAAGTAGTAGATTTTTTTAAAAGGAAAACCAAAGTATATTCCAGTAAAATCGTCTTGGTTTAATACCTCAGTGAAATATAAGACTACATTTCAATTGCTTCTACTAGAAGGGGATTAACTTTTATGCTGCTGCCTTTATACTACTCTTCTTCCAGAAATGGAGGTAGCTGCTTCCTCTCCATGGTGCATCTATACTTAATAGGATTCTTTTAAGTATCTCTTTATTTTTCTAGTGCCAAATTCCTATATTTAAATTCACTTCTGCTGCCTATCTACTGACCATTCTCTTATCCTTCATTCTCCTTTTTAATTTTTGTTTTTCATTTTTCTCGTTTGTATTATTACCTCCATTTATTTTCAGGTTTCCTATTCTAGAAATACTACTACAGAAACTAATAGCACCCCATGTCGTCTCAAAGTAAAGACCCATTCCAAAAAGAACTTACTGCTGGGAAGTTTGTATAGACATAGAGCCTTGATTATTTAAATTACAATTCTGAATTACAGATTTCCTTAACTTGATGTTTGAATACAATCAACGTTTTTTTTATAACTCCTACTATTTCCATCTAATCAGATAGGCATACTGGCAGATAAATTCTATAGTTATACTTCTAAAAGTCATCACTGACAGAAACTGCTATCATTACTCAGCATTAAAGAGAATTTATTGACCACAACATGATGTATTTCTAAGTGGATCTGCATAAGAAAGAATTGTGAATATACTTCTTATGGCATAAGACTTTATAAACTGTGATTGCTTCAAAAGCGGCAATAACTTAGAACTACACCTTCCACACACTTTTAATTCTTTCCCTTTTAATGATCTGAATTACACAGGTGTTTGAGTGAATGCTTATATAGTTTTTTTTCTGTATTATCATTAGTTCTTTCCCTCCTTCAATTATTGCCACTTGATTTCTTTATTAAGAAGATATCTCTTAAGCAGGGGTGTCAAACTGTTGGCTCACGGGTCAGTTTCATCATATTGGAGCCACGCCTACCCCATTGCCGGCAATGGTGAAAAAGCTCTAATACATTGCGCGACGTCACGTGATGTCGCGAGTTTGACATGTCTGCTCTTAAGTAAGACTCCCCCCTACACCAGAGAGAATGGTGAACCACAGTCATTTAAGTGAAACGTTACAGCCCTCTTTAATAGCTTTCTCTTCCTCAGATGACTGGGACATACTTTTGACTAACATATTTCCTAGGGTGGAAAAGGTTAGGTGATATTTAAGCCACTGAGATTATGTAGTGTCAATTGTCAAAAAGTGGTTATTATGAGCACAGCAATCCCAAAATGCCCATTTCCTGTAAGACAATCCAGCCTTCAGATTATTCTTTATAAAGTCAATGAGCCTTTTGTAAGGGACCCAAACATATTTTTGAAAATAAGCACAATAACAAGTTAGTCCTTTGCTTTGCACTATATTAACTTCTTTTATTAAAAATAATCTTTTAAGAAATATTTCTCTCTTTGTATGACAACAGCATGAGAAAAATAGTCATCATTCTAATAATATGCATGGATCTGAACACAAAATATTGCTTCATATGGGCAAAACAGATTCAGTTGTAGACAAACAGAACACACGCACACAGGTTCACAATGATTTGTTTTGCACGCATGCAGGATATTCTAAGCCTGTATTTTTCATAGGAGGGAAGAGTCAGAGAAGGACACACACCCAGAATCGAAAGGCAGCAAAACGGGGGTTCTTTCTGGGTGACATGTACAGTATATTGTTACCTGGGGAGCCAGCCAAAGAGTCCCCTCGGCTGAAGGCAAAGGTACGGGACACAGACACGGGCACTAGAAAGAAGACAAGGATCAGGAGACAAAAACCAGGAGAAAAGGGAAAAGGAGCAAGGAAGCTTTAGAAGGAACAAAGAGTGACCTACTCAGCATCATGGGCAGGTTACAGCTATTAATATTACCTAAGCTCTTTTCATTTTGGAAAATTTAGTTTTATTTCTACATAACCTGGGCAAGGAGAAATAAAGAGAAAGTAAGTTTTGAAAAAATGTTCCTCTGCAGGCTACCTAGCATTATATCCTGGATATTGCATCTCACTTCACATCACTACATTGAGACTCACAGAAATTAAAAACAACGGATTTAATAAATACTTCATGAGCATTTATAAATCCATGATGCACTTCCACAAATCACCATTTGATGGCACCAAAAACACAAATAATGGAATGCAGATAATTTTAAAATATTCATGAGTTAACAGATCCAAGCTTTAGAAGTTCCCTTATTTTTACAGACTTACCTGAACTGCACTGAGTGCACACTTATTTGACTATATTACTATTCAGAATAGTTTATGCGGGACCAGCTCTAGCTTTCAGAGGCAAGGGAAACAATGCACAAATTTACCGTATGTTTGGCACAAATTATGTTCTTCTTTTTCTGCTCTGGATTGAGCACTAAGGCTGAGAGGGAGGGAGAATTATTGGTAAGGAAACAAAGAAACGGGGCCAGCAGAAGCAACTAAGTAAGTCAAGGATGATGGGATGAGCTTTTTAAAAAATGTATTTTGAGCCCTCAGTAAGAGATAACAAAAAGCAGAGAAGAAAATGAAACCAGCAATGACATGGAACAACAATAGATGCTGCTGTTAGCTAAAACTGACTGCAGAAATCTCCCTTGGGGGCTATGGATACCTGTGGTAGATATATTAATGTACTTAACTGGTCAGCCAACTGAAGGTTAGGGTTGCACTTGATTTGTTCATTACAGAAAAGGAATAGGAAAGAAAAAATGTATTACACCAGCTTCATTTTACTATAAATTAACTATGATGACTGATTATGAAGTCCAACAGTCTAGAAAGAACGAAGCTGGTGATCAACATATTTAAATATCTCACTAATTAATCAAGTATCAAATGGACTATGTTAGTACCAGAACAGGGTATTCACAAATATTTATCTGTGGCCCTTTTTCTCTGGGATGGTTTATGATATCCCCATGTTTTCGTCATTCCTCATCCTCCTTAATTCCCACTGCCCCCGAGATGCTCAAACTCATCCTATTGGCTGCATGTCATGCGTTGCTCCAAAGGGGACCAATACTTTACTGTGGAACTGGTTCAGGGTAGAGCACTAAAGTAGTTTTCTTTGTGTTTATATAACCTTAAACTGAGAACTTCACAACTCCCAGCATAAGTAATGAGTTAACTAACATACTTGGCTTCATCTTATACTGAACCATGATTTGTTTCAGGCTTAGGGTGTTTTGCAAACAAGACCAGGTATGTCTTGTTTAGTAAACCAATCTTAAAAAATAGCCTTGGCTTAACCAAAATCTACAGTTCTATCAGCTGTGTCATCAGAACAGCTGCTCTAAAATATGTATATCAGATTATATATTTAAAAATGGTTATGTGGCAAAACTACTTGATAGACTATCTACTGTAGCTGACCCACCCCATCCTGATTCATAATTCTGTTGGAGTAGGATTGAGATGTCAAGAAACAGTGGACTTTATTTAATTTTTTGGGTAGAGCTGGCAACGCTTAATGAAAATGGTCCCCTATACCACCTTATTTTAAAAAAAGGTCAGGTAGGAGAAACGTACACAGGAAAGATGATCCAGCCAGGCTGCTCATTTTACGCCCATCATTATCTGAAAAGATGGAAAAATGGAAGGTGAATCCCCAATCAGACTTTTATTGTCTCATCCCTGCTCTGAACAAGGAAGAGACACATTTTTCAGGCACATAGAGGCAGGAGGTTAATATCAACTGTTGCTTGCCTGGATCAGGCTCAAATGAATGGCTCAAATATTGTTATTATTTGGTTTTCCAAGACCTGCCTGGTTGTAAAGAAATCTCTTTCTTCCCAACATATGATTTTCTGTTAATGTTGCAGTACTGCAATTTCATGTAATATGAATGAAGGTGTTCTGTTTAAAAATATTTTACACATTTCATTCCTTATAAACCTCTGTGCTCTCTCCTGATCCAGGCCCAGGATCTACTACTCTTGGAGCATAATTCTTATTGTATCATGCAAAGCCTGGAGTAACTCTTGAGCCAACAGATGTTATGCATCCTTACTACATATTGGTAGTTTTTCCTAGCCCTCTCCTGCATTATGGTATCTGTCCTCTTTTGTTTTTTGTTTTTTATTTACCTGATATTTGCCTAAATCAGTGGTTCTCAACCTGTGGGTCGGGACCCCATTTGGGGTCGAACGACCATTTCACGGGGGTCGCCAAACAACGCAGTCCGCCATTTTTTCCCCCTTTTCCTTAGCTGTGCTACTCCCTTTTATTCTATTGGCTTTTGAAAGCCAATAGAATAGACTCTCTGAATAGAGTCTAATTCTATTGGCTTTCAAAAGCCAATAGGAATTGTCCAGGCTGTCTCTGCCCTGCTGAGCCCGCCAAAAGTCCCATTCTGCAAACGGTGCTGCACCAGTGGAGTAGTCCTCGACTTACGACCGGTTGAGTAGTCCTCGACTTACGACCGGTTGGGGGTCACGACATTAAAAAGGTTGAGAACCACTGGCCTAAATGTTTAGTAGAGTGAAAATCAGAATAAATTTGCAAGTTCTTGTATATTACATATTTAAGTTCATTTATTCTGAACACTCTAGGTTCTGTTTCTGTGACTTCTATCATCCCATTCTGTAGTTAATTTTAGATTTCTAACCTGAATAGAAGACAGTCATGATTGCTGGGACACCATAGTATGTGAAAGCACCATTTTCAAATCGCAATCCTTCTTTTCCCACTTCTACCTCCACTTTTCCCTAAAAAAAGAAAACAAACAAAACCAAAGCATGTAATCCAACTGCACCAGTCATCTCTCTTCCACCATATCTGATCACCCACTGAAAAAAGGAAAAATATACACAATGTAACTTAAGAAAATAACTTCAGGTAAGAACAAGGCCAGTTCATTCACAAATATTTGTAGGTGTTCCTTCATAAAAGAAAAAAATAGAAATATGAATCAAAATAGCTGGGGAACATCAGAAAAGATATCTTGAAAGGTTAGGTTGAGAATAAGAGTAGTAACAGAATTTAGAGAATCTATACCTGATTTATAGTTGAAAGTACTCAATAATATAGCAGCTACGTAAATATCAAGGGAAAGAATAGTACAACTAAAGGTCCTAAGAAAAAAATGAGCAAGGTTAACCAATCCTAAGAAAATTTCTTAGGGAAGCATTAAAACATTAAGTTAAAACATCTTTCAACCCCAGTTCCAAATTCATGGTACTCTTTAAATTTGAATGACTAGTTGGATAGTACTTAAATTCAAAAAATGTGAATAATGTATACTAGTGATAGAAGAAAACATATTGTCAAATTTATTTGGATAAAGCATAGAGACACTTCAAGCCAAGTTTCTAAAAATTATTTTTCTCCTCTGAGTGGTTCCTCTTTATTTTAAAGTCTGAAACAAAATACTGGGCATGTAAAATTGAAACTCATATCTGGATTTTTATTTGCAAGCCAAGTGCTTATTCTAGACTAATTGACCATATAAATGCTTCCTATAGTAAACAATAAAGTTGATGTTACAAATTTCTATCATAATATGACAAACCTGTAAGATGAGCACAAAATAGTCAACTGGGCGGTTACGCTGATAAAGATAGTGTTCAGGTGCTCGCTTGTTTTTGTGGTCATATTTCATCTCCTGGATGACATTGGGATGTTTGAGAAGCCGCAGCAGGATCTTCTCTGAGAGATGTGGCATCTTGAAAGGTTCTACCTCTGCAAAGGAAGAAAAGAGGAGGGAAGCAGTAACTATGCTTTCTTTGCTTGGACAAATCAGGAAGAAGGTAGTTGGAGAAAGATAATTTTTTAAGATTTTAAAAATACTAAGAATTTGAATTATAGTAGTTAAACTAATACAAATTAAACTTAGAGAAAAAGAATGGAGAGAAAGAATTAGCAGTGCAGGAAAACAGAAAAAAGAATGAAGAAAAAAGGAAGAATGCAGTAAAGAAAAAGAAAGAAATATAAAAAGGAAGAATGCAGTAAAGAAAAAGAAAGAAATATACAAACAAGTGATTTCCAACCTTCATCAGATGTATAATTTAATATCTTTCACCTCCTGTAATATTAAACAGATATCTCTTCACCCAATATCTCATCCCTTATCTATAGGCAAATCTATAAAACATCAACTTTTCAATCCTAGTTATCAGCAGAAAGTCCATAAAGGGTTGCTAGAATATTGCAAAAATGTCTCATTATAACCTTGATCAAATATACCAACTTTAATATTACAGCCTTTACATTTAAAAGTCTTAATCTTTAATTTAATCAAATATTGCCATAATATTTAATTTCTCTTCAATTCTTTTTTATCTCATTGCAGGTTTTTTTTCAAAGTTTTAACAAGCCTCTTTTGTAGATCTAGTAAGAAAAGATTTTCCAGCTCATTTTCTTGGTTTATCATTTGTATTTTTCTTTTAATTTTTAAAACAAGCAAGTTTTTTTGTATATCTAGTAAAACATCCTCTTCCAAATTATTCTCTTGGCCTGTCATTTGTGGTTCCACATTCTATACTTTTTGTCTTGTCATATAATTTTTTACACAGCTGTCATTCTTTCGTTAATATAATTTTAAACATTGTCTATCCACAGAAGCAGACATCATTACTGACAGTGTGGATATTGTAACTTCTGGCTCAATTCTTCAAAGATTTCCTTTAATATTTCTAATGTTATAACATTTGGTATCATTCTGTAAGTCCAAGAGTTAACTGACATTAATTCTCTTTAAAATCTTTAATCCACCCTAGGGTCCAGTTTCTAAAATCATAACTTATCTTTTGTTATGACTTGCAATTGCCAGGATAGCCAAAGTAAGTCTTTCCCATGAGAAATTGTTTTATTTTTATAGCTAATTCCAAAATCTGAATCTTTATACGGAGCTTAATCAATTTATAATTTTCTTAGATAAAAATCTTATTCACCTTTTTGCTATTTATTTCAAATCCTTTAAGTTTTTAAGCTTGTAATTTTCTTTTGAGCTGAAGATAAACTCACTTCATAAAGACTTTTGAAACTTGTTCTGAAGGTCTCTAATAGCTTTAATGTAGTGAATAGGCAATTTCTGAAAGTGATTAGAAAGTAAGCTTTGCAACCTTAGTGTTCTTTAACATAGCAGTCTCCAACCTTTCTGGCTTTATGGACCAGCGGGAAAGAGGAGATAGTTCCACGTGAGCAATGGGAAAACAAGTGCGTGAAGGTCCATTTGAACAAATGGAGCTGCGTGCATGTGTCCACAACCTTCGCAGCCCAGTTCTGAACAAGCCACGGTCCAATAGTGGGCACAGCCTGGGGTTTGGGGACTCCTGCTTTAAAAGACTTTGCTATGGTTGCAAGCAAGATGGCTGATTTCATCATTTCCCAGGACTCAAACCCATGGAAAAAATGTTGTCCTGTGGTCTCTTTGTGAGAAGTAGCCATCCAAAGCACATTGGGTGATCTCCTGTTGTCTCCTTATTTTGAGAGGTGCCAAGGAAACAGTTTAATCACTGGTTCCTTAGCCTTTGCTATAGTTGTCAGCTCTGCTTTTGCAGAGGTGTATTCAGGTCACCATATCTCGCCCCAATAGAGAAAGAAAATGATGCCATTACACATTTCTTCCACTCTAAATTAAACTGGCTACTTAAAACATAAACCACAGACGAGTTGGATGCCAAGTCTTAAGGTTAAAAAAAAAAACACAAATGTCATTCTATTCTTTAAAAAAGCTTAATTCCAAGATACTTATGATACTTGCCAATAGCATGGGTATCAAACAATAAGTATCAAAAATGCAGCAACAGCCTAAGAAGAGCCAGATACCTGTAGCCATGAAGCGATGAGTGGCCAATAGCAGCTGTGGTGAGATCTTTACTCTCATCTCACTATCCGAAAGTCTAAAGATGGAGAAATCATGAGGTTTCCTACCCCGGGGGATCCTTTCCTTTTTCTGATTGTCTACTGAGGATTAAGAAAGTAAAAAAATATAGTCACAACTCTGGGAATTTAGAAAGGATGTTGTATCTCAGTTCATAGTCTCATGGCAACATTTTGGGTGTGCTAATCTTACATCAACACAGCTCTCTTATCTTAAATAAAAGACAGCTATTCTCTACAGCACCGTGACTTTTTTTCCATTGCTGGCAATGAGGTAGGCGTGGTTTCGCCATGATGCATCTCACTCGTAGGCCGGTAGTTTGACACCCCTTCTCTACAGCATTGAAATATTATCAACTCTGTCCAACCCAAAGCGATATAACCCCCTTTTTTGGGGAGGGAGGCTTTATTAAAATACAAAACTACAATATCTAAGCAAAAATTAAAATGTGAAGTGTAATACATTTCAAGTGTTACCAAGCTTATGCCTTAGATTAAAGGATAACAACTACAGACACAATATATAATATGTAATTTTAAAAAGAAAGTGAGTATGAGAAAGAGAAAAACAGAATTTTCAAGCAAACTTGTCATATTTTCTTAAATTATTATATTCTTTCAAGCAAAGCTGCAGTCCTAAACATTTTTACTTTCAGTGTGATTTGTTTCTAAGTAAATATGTACTATCAGCACTACAGGTGCTATATTTTTTCTTAAAAAGAAGAAAATAAAAACCTTGCCTTCTTAATCTTTTTTGTTTGTTTGTGTGTGCCTTCAAGTCAGTGTTAACTTCTGGAGACAGTATGGAGAAACAAGGTTGGCAAGGTTTTGGAAATGGTTTCCCACTGCCTCCTTCGATGAGTTGAGAAAGGTGTTACTGGCCCAAGGTAAGTTTGGTGTGACTGTAGAACTCAGTTTCCCCGCTTATAGCTTGGTGCCTTAATTACTACACCAAACTAAAATTTAGTCAGTAAGATTCCATTGTTGCAGTCTCCAAACTTAATCATACACAGTAATATCTCCCATTCTAGTTCCATCATTCAACCTTGAAGGTATTTTTTCAGTCCATTGATGCCCAAGGATTAGTCTTCCAGGAAAGGAGTAGGAATGAGATGAAGTAAAATATCTCATTCCGGAAGATGCTATTTTAAGAATCTGCTTTTGTGCTAATGAGATACTAACATCCAGGGATAGAATATACTTATCCAATTTCACTTATATGGGCACTGAAGCTGAGATGTATGGGATTCTAGTTTGTCATCAAAGCAATTGCTGCCCGATTCCCTAGCTGAAAGTTGCTACTACACAAGAAAAATCACACAAAAAGATGGCAAGTTCTATATGATCTAATTGGAGAATAAGAAAAAGCTATGTTCAGCAAGAATTGTGGCGAGGGAAATGAAGAGATTTTAGCAAGAATTTTACAATTGGTAGAAATAATAGCAAACGAAATTATAATTCCCATGTTTTTATTTATGCCCCAAACCATTTGGTGTCGTCTTAGTGGCCCCCTAATACTTACTATAAAGATCCGTCTCATCCAGAATCTCCGATTTGATTATCTCTTCAATCACATCCTCCAGAGTGACAATTCCCATCACCTCATAGAAAGGGTCTCCTTCCCCTTCATCATTAACTCTCTGTACAATTGCAAGGTGTGATTTACCTACAAAGAAAGAATGAGCAGAAACAAATTGTGCAGGAGATATTGTGTTTATCACCCACTGCACCCAAAATAAGATAGGAAGTGGATCGCTTGAGGCTTCTGGGCCTTTGACTAGTGCTCAGTGAGAAGTGGCCTCCTTTTGAAATGGGAATGAAAAGCAAAGTTATTCCAACCATCTGCTCCTCCATGTGAAGGAAACATAAACAACCAAGTCTAAGCAACGCAAATGTAGAGTTGATTTTGCTTCTTGAAATTCAAGAATATATGCTATTTTCCATACAGTGAAAGTAAATTGAAGATGTTATCTTGGGCCCCGGAGAAGGGAGGAATTCATAATGATGGGAGAGAAAAGGAAAGAGGTAATGAGGTAGTTACTTTGGGATAGCACCAAATATCCAATCAAGGGTTGTTTGCTCCCCAACAATGAATTCTACTTTCCACCAATCTCATTCACTAGCATCAAAAGGGTTATAAAATGGCCCAAATTTCAGGATATTTGCTAATATTCGAATCCTATGAGGCCAAGCATAAAAATATGTTTGTGAAACATCTAAACACCTGACACTACTTTTAAAGACTATGAAACAAAAGTAATCTAGGTTTGATTTTCAATTTTCATTTTAAAAAAAGAATGTCAAATTAGTTTGACTTTTTATTATGGTTCTCTCCCTACTAGGTCCTATTCCTAACTATATAATGATGATAGCTGACCTTTATCATGGGCAAATCCTGCCAATGTACTATGTAAATATGGAATAATTTGTCAGAAAAGCAAACTGAATGTTATTCAATTAGCCCAATTAAAGCAAGTCACAGAATGCAGGATTGAACACCAGCTAAATCTCAGTTGGAATACTATGAGTAGCTTTGATCACCATTTATAATTCTCTTTGAAGAGGCATTGTTGCATAATTTTTTCAAAATGTAATTTTACACTTTCTGATGTTAAGCATAGGGCAGACTTATTGTTTTTCTCTCCAATGATGCTCCACTTAAATTTCTTAGCCATTTTGATGTCTACTTTATGCCATTTAAGATACAATGTTTACTAGATACTGATTCTACATAATGCTACTTAACAGCAAGGAGCTTTCTGTGTTTATACCATCTGCTTATACAACTGGCTACCCTACCCATCATAGCTCTGAGAGAAATATAATTTTGAGGTCTCTGTTCCTTCTATGTTTTTTAGGCACACCATAGGCATTATCTAAAAACTGAAGTTTGGGAAAGATTGAAAGCAAAACCTCCACATATTTCAGCTAGTCCAGTTTTAGTAGCTGATATTATGAGGTTCACAATAAAATTGTTGAATGCTTTTGACCCTGAACAACATCAATGAGTCTTAAGGATTTCCATATGGCCACTGCAGAACTGAGAAGCGTCAGGAGAGCCTGTAGCATACCCCTGGAGATTAACAAAAGACGGCAAATTCAAGACCAAATGTTCAACACCCCACTTTTCAAGAGGACAGCTGCTTTAGATTGCTTGCATCTGCCATATCCAGTTGCAACTCAGCCAAATTACACTAGTATCAGTTAGGCCGGGATATGTGGTGATATGTGGAGACACCAATGGCCATCCTTTTGAAAGTGATATTACTCTGTTTACAGATGCAAGAAATACAAAATACTTTTCTGAGAAAGATGATTCTTCTAAATGCATATTATAACAGTGCAACATAAATTGTGACAGTGCAACTGTGTCTCGTTTCTTCTTCCTAGGATGAGTTTCATCACTAATTGCAGAATTAAACCCAAAACCACCATCTATCATGTTGAGAAAGAAAAAAAACATAGATTTTGTATAAATGATGTCTGGAAGCCCAGGAGTAGCTCTGGACTCTGAGTTTGCCATTTATTCATTCAATCTCATGAGAATTCTTGTCTGACTAAATACCTGTCTTTCTCAATTTAGGTGAGCAATGCCCTTGCCTATAACCTGTATCAGCAATCCCCAATTTTTCTCTCCAGATGTTTTCGGTTTTAATTCCTACAGTTACCAGCAAGCACAGAAGATGGTTACACTGACTATAGGGCTATGGGAGTTAAAGACTATCCAATTCAATCTGTGCAAAATTCCCAAGTTTGCTGGTTCTGTATATACAATCTACAAATCTAAATTAAATGTTAACTCTGATAATATATGATGTGCTTTTTTGAGTGACTCTATATTTCTCCACAACCTCACCTGAATGTTATTTTTAAAGAATGAGTTTGCAGACAGCTGAAACTCTCTTTATAGAAGCAATTTCTTACTTCTGTTTTTTCTTGCCTCTATATTAACAAATTAGACACCATTCAGTGTTATGTCAGAATATGGTATCAAAGTTGTAAAGACTGAGTTTATTGTCCTATAATAATTTTGCTACTGAAGACAGGTTTACAACAGATATTAGGACAAGAAATGACAGTTTCATGTTGCATATGATTCAAAGCTTGATGCTGTAGCACAGGGCTTTTCAACCTTTTCACCCACTGTACCACTTTTAGGATATGGCAACATCTGAGTACCACCAGTTGCCTAGCAAGGTGTCAAAAACTTAATGACCAAAAATAAAAGGAAAAAACTGATGAAATATAGGTAGTCCTTGACTTATAACAGTTCACTTAGTGATTGTTCAAAGTTACAAATGGCACTGAAAAAAGTGTCCCCCCAAGTCACAGCCGAGCAAGACACCTGCCTGCCCGCCCGGCGGTGCTCTTCTTCCTGTCTGAAGTTTTCATTGTTGTGAGCATTGGCAGCGGAGGTGGGTGGGGGTGGGGGGATGTTTGGTTTTTATTCCCATCTGCTGGGTGGTTGCAGCAGGTTTTGGTCACTTCACATGACCCTGGGACACTGTGACCATCATAAATATGAATCAGTTGCCAAACTGAATGTAAATCACAAGACCCTGGAGATGCTGCAACATTCCAGCTGATCGGCGCTTCTGGGCTCAGCAGAAGTGCCAGGATCAGTGCTGCTTTTCGGCTGATTGGTACTTCTTCAGGGCTCAGAACCACCAGGATCAGCGCCAAGCTCCAGCTGGAGCCTGGCACTTCCACTGAGCCCTGACAGCCCGAAGCGCCAATCAGCTGGAAAGTGGCACTGATCTTGGTGCTTCTGCTGAGCTCTGACAGCCCTGCAGTTCTAGCCATCTCTTGCTCAGGCTTGTGCGGTGCTGCCACTGGTTCAGCTCATTCCCCTCCCCCGCTACCACTTTTCTAGGATGGTCGCCTACCACCTGCCAGATGCCAATGTACCACAGATGGTACACGTACCACTGGTTGAAAAGCCCTGCTGTAGCACTTGCTTTACGCACAAGACTCACATCTGATCCCCCAAGTAACCAGGTAGGACTGAAAAAGACTAAAGCCCTGCCTGAAGCCTGTGGAACTACTGCCAGTTAGCACTGGGCAATCTTTTTCAACCTGGTATCCTCTAGTTATGTTGAGCTTTAAAACTTAGTATTTCTGAGTCAGTATGGACCAGACTTCCTAATATTTTGCTAGAATAGGAAAATTATGCCTCATTTCTCCTTTGCAATTGAAGGTAAAGAGATAACACTCCAATTTCAGCTCATGGTTTCTCTGCACTGAATAAAAATGCATAAATTTACAAGCAAAAAGATTGACAAAAGCATGTCAATTTATATAAACAGTGGAACAAGTTGGGGAAAATGCTATTAAAGAGTTTCAGGAGAAAACTCCTTAGTATATCATGGTAATCTATTTGGAAAACCTTTTGGATAATTCAGTGACTTACAATGAGCCATTTGTTATAGAGCATAAATAGGCACACACACACATGCACCCATACATAGACACATTGGTGTGCTGTTCCAATAATTTAGCCACAACATCCAGGCTACAGAAAGAGGGTAGACCAGTGCAGGAGGGGGCACAGTGGGATCCCAGGGTACCTCGCAAGCAGGGTGCACAGGGAGTAGAGAGGCATGTGATGCTGGCAGGAGGCGAGTGGCTGGGGCCCCGGGCCCTCACCCTTCTTGAACTCCTCGAGCAGCGTATCTAGGCGGGTATCATGGAAGACACAGTGCAGCGGGCGGTGATAGAAGCGAGTAACTGTCTGCAGTGGTGTGCAGTCATCAGGATCCACGAAAGCCAAGTCCTTGACAAACAGCAAGTCGACAATGTTGTCTCGTCGCTCACCTTCATATACAGGGATGCGGGTATAGCCTGAGCGAAGAATCTCAGAAATGGTAGTAAAGTCAAGTATGGCATCAGAGTGCAACATAAAACAATCATTCAGAGGTGTCAAGATGTCCTCAACTACCTTGGTGCGTAACTCCAGTGCACCTTGAACCATGGCTAGTTCCTCACTCACAAGATCACCATGAGGGTCAGCAGCCCGCAGGGTCTCCAGCAGGTGCTCCCTTGTGGAGAAGGTGCTGAGCTCTTGATGCAAAGCCCAATCTAGCAAACGGCTGAGTGGATAGCATATGGGGAAGGTGGGGGCCATAAGCAGGCGGGTGAGAAAGAGTGTGTGTGCAGCAATGGCTAACCCGTGGCGGGAACAAATGGAGTAGGGCAACACCTCACCACCCAAAAAGACGACACTGGTGCAGAGCAGCACAGGCAACCACGGCACACCTTGGTTGTCTTCGGGCAGGGAAATGTGACTGGCTTGTAGAGCAGCGCATAACCAGCCCGCCAACGTGGCGTTAGCACCTGCCTGTCCGAGCAACAGAGTGCACAGTAGGTAAGTGCCGCTTCCGCCTCGGCCGCGCGCAGCCTCCACCTTGCGCGCCTGGTCCCTCTCTGCAGCCGAGCCACTGTTCCGCAGTACCCGCAGCTCCATCGGATCGAGTGACAGCACGGCCAAGCGGAGGCCGCTGAACAGCGCCGACAGAGCTAGCAGGACTAGTGCGCCCACACCCCGCAACCAGCCGGCGGTGGGCAACGGAATCAGCCACGCGGCCGAGCCCGCTGCCGGCGTTTCCACTTGCAGCACGAAGCCCCCCGGCGCGCCGTGCAGTTGCCAGGCTCGTCCATCCCAAGCGCAGAGCCCGAACCGACGCCCTCCAGGCCCGGCGCCGGGCTCACCCTTTCGCGGCTCCCGCACTCTCACCTCGGCTAAAGCCGAGCCGGCCGAGCCTCCGGGCAAAAGCGGGCCCAGCACCTCCACGTCCGAGGCCCAGGCGCTGCGTTCGGAACAGCGCTCCACTGTGGCGGGCTCCTCCACGAAGACGACGCGGCGCTCAACCTCCTCGCTCGCGCTGCTGCCGTTACTAGCGGCGGTGCCTTCGGCCGGCGGCTGGAAGTAGAGGCGCAACAAGAAGCGGGAACCCTCAGCCGCCCGCAGCGCTCCCCCCTCGAGCCACACGCGCCCGGGCGCCGTATCCTCTGGCCGCAGCCCCAGTAGCCACGCCGCTCCGCCAGGGGGCCTTGGCGACAAGGAAAAGAAGAGAAGCAGAACAGCGCCTCGGCTCCGACCCCAGCAGCCGATGTTTCTGCGCTCTAGCCCGCGGCCCAAAGCTGCTGCCGCCTGCCCCACCATCCTCAGCAGCCAGGCAAAACACGGGGCTTCGAGGAGCAGGCGCCGGCCGCACGTGACTCTCTCGAGGCGCTGGAGGCGGCCGCTGGACCACGTGTGCATGGGGCGAGCCTGCCAGCCCCTTGGCTTTCCTCGGAGGCTCGGGGGCGCCCCGTTTACCCGCGCGGTAGATTCATAGGATCCGCGAAGATGGCCCTGGATGTTATCGGTCTCAGAGTTGGTCTTCTCTTCAATGTGGAGGCCACCCATATTCCCTGTTTCCATTTCCCTCTGAAATCGGTGGGTCTCTGCTAACAGCGTCCTGGTCCGGGGGTCCCTGTGCTCAGCTGTGATTATTGGGGGCAGCGTGCAAGGATCATCGTGAAGTGCAGTGAAAACGCGCAGTCTTTAATGCGTCGTTGACCTGCTTGTCTGGGCAACTTGCCAGATTTTCCTCCTCTTTAAATACTGATATATGTAGAGCTCATTAGGGTTCTGGTGCGGTGAGGGGAATTAATGGAAATTTGCTTCCACCGAGAAAATAAAATTAGGAAGGCGGGAAATCGTAATACAGTGGAATAATACTTAACATGTCGAATCCTGAAGATCCAGAAAGATGCAGTCAAACAAGAGGACTGAATGAAACACTAGCTCTATCAATAGATCTTATTGATGAGTTGTTATTAGCCTAATGTTTACCGTAATTATCACTAGGATTGTTATTTTTTCTTCCTGGTTAGTCTCCTTTAATGGCAAGGTAATATAACAATTTCCTTTTTTCTATTTTTACACTTATATACATATTTGTACTTTATATTTGTATTAATTTTGAAACAGCTATTTGAAAATAAAAAAACCAGTAAGGTATACTATAGAAAACAAGCATCAGAATATAATAAATTTATATTGACTGAGTTTATTGGACTGCTGTCATTCAAGGCCATGTTGCCTAAATGTTCTGCAATCATGGACCACAAAAGAAACATTAGGAAAATGCAAGAACGGCCAATGAAACAAATGCCCTCTTGTCTGTAGTAATATGGGAGTTTACCTTGGGGGAGGGCATTTCTGTTTGCATTTATATATGCTTTCTCTTTTTTAAAATTAAATTTTGTACCAGAAAACATAATCCAGATTCAAGTTTTTATTTACCACTTAATTTTTTTATATACCCCACGCCGTAACAGCAACTCTTTTAAGTACAAGCTTGATGGTCAAAATTTGTCATTATTAAGAAACATTTCCAGCCCTTTTTTAAGATATCCATTGTTCCATTTCCTATTTGCACTTTTCAGGTGGCATGTGTGCTCCATTCAGTATAATATGGGCCGACTGGTAGCCAACAACTATGCTTGCAACCTGTTTACTTGTCAGTTTGCTGTTAGTATTCACATTATTATTTATGTTATCATTTAACACTTCAGTGAATTAGTTTTCAGCTAGTGATCTGTTCTTGAGAGCCAGCTGACTGTCAGTGCACAGATCAGCTGGGGACTGAAGCTATGGGTAGGTTCTGAAGTATGATTGCAGAGAAACTGGCTGGCCATCTGGTGAATCTCCATGAATGATGAATAGATAGTCCATGGACCAATGTTTGAGACTTACCAATGAAAAGCATAGCCACACTCTATTGTTTGAAAGGGGATAGTGTCCTGTATTATAATTTTGGTCATTACCATGAGTGAATCTTAACTTAGTGGCAGTGTCTTCCAACCTGACATTCTCCTGTTGTTGGGAGCTTTCAACTTCTAGAATTCCAAGCCTACCTGGAAATTCTGGGACTTGTAATACCAACAAAATTAGAAGATGCCTGGTTGGGGGAAAAAGCCAGCAATGTAATGGGCATCTGATGGGAGTCAAGATTTAAAAGGCTATCCTCATTTTGCAATCTTGTTTTATTCAACTGTGAAGGTCTTCCTCCCCCGCCCCCCTTTTAGCATGTTGAATATTGTCCACCTGAGATTTCTTATTATTTATTTTAAAGTCAGTGTTTTGGCTGTGAAGTCTTGGATCAAATCTGGGTTAGGGATACATTCCTATTGGTGTCAGTTGAAGAGCATTATGCCTTTCATACCGATCTCTGGTAAGAAAAAAGAGAAAAGGAAACATCCCATGTGCAGATATAATAACAGCAACATCTGGATCCGTGAGTGAAGCTGGATAGTTGTACATAAAGGACATTGACTTCCTTTATGTGTCCATGTAAGCAAGGCAGTAGAATCAATAGGTAAATTTTGTAAACAAGGAAAAAACTTAAGACATTTTAATAGAATCTTCTGGAATATAGATATGTATGTTTTTATATCAGTGGTTCTGAACCTTTTTAATGCCGCGACTCCCAACCGGTCATAAGTCAAGGACTACTCAACTGGCCGTAAGTCGAGGACTACTCAACTGGTGCAGCACCGTTTGCAGAATGGGACATTGGGCGGGCTCAGCAGGGCAGAGACAGCCTGGACAATTCCTATTGGCTTTTGAAAGCCAATAGAATTAGACTCTATTCAAGAGAGTCTATTCTATTGGCTTTCAAAAGCCAATAGAATAAAAGAGAGTAGCACAGCTAAGGAAAAGGGGAAAAAAATGGCGGACTGCATTGTTTGGCGACCCCCATGAAATGGTCGTTCGACCCCAAATGGGGTCCCGACCCACAGGTTGAGAACCACTGTTTCATATGGATGTGCAGTCTAACATAAGGGATCATATGTGTTCCAGAAGAGTAGCCTTTTTTCTTACCAATACTCTCTAGTTACTTACAGTATTAGAAAATAAAACAAATATTACAAATACTGTTGGTGTCCCAATATTTAAGTTTAATGGTAAGCCTTATCCATGTATGCTACTTGAATAATTTGCAGACATAACCTCCTTATCCCATGTACCCTCACTTCTCCATGTTTTTGTTCAAAAATTGAAAACGTTGTACATGGGGCTAATTTTCAGACGTTCTAAAAACACTTTGCATTTCCTTCATTTTAAAGTGCAGTCAAATGATTCAAACCAAAATCTTGTCAATATATTTGAATGTGAAGCTTTTAGAATAACTTCACAAAAAGCCTTCCTAAATATAAAATCTTTCTATGGTGGTAGGAATATAGTTTACTAATAGCACTTAACCAGCCTTAACCTGTTTCTTTGGCCTAGAAAATGGAAGAAATGCCAAATGGTTTTCAAAAGTGTGCAGGCTGTATGTCAAAATCACATTCATTGCCCATTGCTTTTATTTTAATCTCTATTTTTCTATACCCACAGATTCAAGTATATGAGTTCAGATGACATAGGCAATTAGCACACAGTACCTGAGGATTTGAAGAATTTGATTGAAAGAAACAGTACAAAACTGTAGTTTGAGGAAGAGGTTTTTCTCTTAATTCAAACTACCAGTAAAATACAGCAAAAACAGTTTCATTTTTCAGCTTTAAGCTTTGCAGATATGATTGCTCTGTACATTAGCTGCCTCCCATTCAAATCTGCATGTTAAAACATACCATTTTTTCTGAACTTCCAACTTTTCTGTTCTAATCTATGCACTCAGTTGGTGTAAATGTACTCTATTCTAATTTTATCCTATTTTTAAACTGCTTCTCATAATTCTAGAGTTAAAAAAAGGTTTGTAGGTATTAGTGGGAAGTTTTCTTTTTCTCCTCTCAGTTGGATGAACTGGTGGCTGGCCTTGGTATAGCTGGTGATTCCTTTGACTAGTAAAATCTTTCATCTTTTCTTTCATCTTCTTTAACCTCATTGAGGAGTCTTTATAATGAGTAGATTTCTCTTTGGCATTTTTTCCTGAAAACATAGCCTCAAAGCTTAGTGGAAATCAGGCTTACTCACAAACTAGCAAGGGTGAGTGCTGTTTAACATATTTTAAAATATTCTTTCTCTACTACCTTAAGTTCATTTTAGCTGTCTGTTATCACCTTCTTTCCAAGCTTGTTCTTCCTAAAGTGTCCCTGGCTGTTTTTAAAATATATATTCTGTTTTAATCTCTTTATATTTTCCATCCCTCCTCCTTCTATGAAAAATATTTGTCATTTGAATCTTAAATGCCACCCACTCTCAATGCCATGGTAGCAAACTGAGTGCAAACTATTTTCTTTGAGTGTCTGCATAAAATATATGATGCTGTGTCTGAGACCAGACTTGTTAATAAGGCTACATCAACTATACTAGTAGTGTATGATTTTGGTGACCATACTATAATTTTCATTACTAGCTGCAAACCTTTTTAGGTACAATGTCATGGTCAACAATGTATATTTATTGGCTTGGAATAAGAACAGCTGTCATTCAACACACCTGGAAGATACTCCATTGGGAATTATTGATGCTAGAAAACAGGATGAATATAGGATATTAATATGCCATACATCATATTTCAAAATTTGAAGCAGAGACTATGTGCATCTGTAAAAGAGACGTACAATAATGAATCTATAATTAAACACACTTTCGTCATAAGAAACATTTTCAAAATATTTGAGTAGCTAAATTGTAACATAGTTGTCATTTCATTGCAAAACTATAATTTGAGCACCAACAGAGAAGAACCAATAGGAGTTTTGTGGGGGAATTTGGCAAGAAAGGTCAAAGGGAGGCAGCTAAAAAAAAAAAAGTCCCCATGTGTCATTTTCTGTGGGAAACCAGCAATGTGGGATACCAATAGTTTTTTTCCCATGGGTTTTAGAAAAATGAAAGATTTCACAAAATTGAATGGAGGGTGTTCCTCTTCTGTTCATCAGAGGTCATGGAGATAGAGAAAAATGCTCTCATGAACTATCAAGGACATGTTGTTGCCTTTATTTTTTGTTCTTGAAGATGACAAGAATTACACACGTTGCAAGTGGAGGAAGAACATGTTGCAACTCCTGGAAGAAAAGGTGAAGGAGATCAAGCAAATCTGTGAGCCTGACTCTTATGAAAGTACAATCACACACAATTCTAAAAAGAAGGGAAAATAGGTGTAGAAAAGCAATGTGAGTATTCAGTGAGTATTCAACTGAGCTAAGAGTTCAAAAGGACATTAACAGGAAATGGAAGATGGATATAATTACCAAGGATGCATACCAGCAAGTAGTAACTAATACCTGCATAATATCAGAAAGGTTAAAATACAGAAGTAAGATAGGCTTGCAAGGGAAGCTAAATGCAAAAAAGAAAGCTTTGTGGGATATGTTAGCTGGGGGGAGAGGAGGGGATGGGTCTGCTGTTTGAGATGATTTTAGAATGATAACAAATGATAGAGTGGGGCAGAGATTGTATACTCCTTTGGTCTTCTTCCCAAAGGGGAACTGCATTTACATGAAGCTAAGCAGAACATCTGATACAAGGAGAGAATGGTGGTCCAAGATAACGAAAGATAATTAGGAACAACTGGCTACTTTCAGTCTCCAGGATCAATCAATTACTGTACATGTGAGACTTTTGAATGTATGTCATCTCAGAGCTCCATTTTATGATCTTTGAGAAATCATGAAGGATGAATATAGTGCCAGAAGATTGGAGAAGGGAGAATTTTGTCCTATATTGAAAAATGAGAGGAGTGGAAAAGGAACCTGGTAATTATAGATTGGATAGATTAATGCTAATAACAGCAAAATTCTAGAGTAGATTATCAGGCAGTGAGTGTGTGGGTATTTAGATTAGAATGTATTGTTTGCAAGAGGTTAGTAAAGGTTAATCTAGAACAATTCATGGCAAACCACTTTGCAAACCATGTTCTGGCCACTTTTATAACCAAATGGAATGAGATGAAGATAATATATCTTAAATTTAGCAAAATATGACAAAGTGTTCACGTGTTTCTAGCAGAGAAGGTAGCAAAATGTGAACTAAACTATGCTGATACCAGACTGATAGAGAAATGGTGGAAATGTTATAATAAATATATGTTAGTGGCTCTGTATCAAGATGGGAGGAGATGTCAAATGGCAGGCTACGGGCCTCCATTCTAGTCCTTTTACTGGAACTGTTAATAATGGAAAAATGGAAATTATTTTATGTATAACCTGGATGATGAATTAGACAATGTGTTTATCAAATTGGTGGATGAAGCAAAGATTGTGGTGAGGCTGTAACA